GAAGCGCAGAAGGCTAACCCCGAGTGCAACAAGCACTTTGCGTAACTGCAGCATTGACAATTAATTTTGTAGTCTTAATGTGCATGCGACCATACTGTATGTACATGTAGATGCATTCACAGATTGACCTGCATTTCATTGTATTGTGATGGAGTCGTTAAAGAGCACCTCTTAGTTAAACACGTTTTCTCTGATCCAAATCGAATGCAGTGTCATTTGTCTTCAGACCCCAACTACGGGATGACAAGCTTAAAAAGGCTTTTTCGCAGTTCATGCCAAGTTGCAAATTCTGAATGTGGATTGCATCATTCGGAGAAAATTAGGGGAACCCATGCCCTGTGTTCAAAGTGGATAAGCCTTGTGCATGCCAAACAAAACGTGCAACCATTGTTTGGCATGCACAAGGATTTATCCACTACAAAGACAGGGCAAGGGTTCCCCACATTTTCTCTGTGTTCTCTGAATGACGCAATCTGCATTCAGAGTTTGCATCTTGGCATTAACAGAAAAAACCCCTTTAAGCTTGTTATAGTTGAGCTCTGAAGACAAATGGTACTGCGTTCCATTTGGATGCTTCCATTTTTATTTGAACAGATAAAATCAGAGAAAACAACGTTTACTTAAAGATGCTCTTTAAATGTGGAAGATCCTTGCTAGTGCAGAGTGTCTTTTGCCGCTCCCCGTTCCCACAGATTCTATGCAGGAATTGAAAAAAGCTCTGTGTGGCCCTCCCCATTCCCACAGATTCTATGCAGGAATTGAAAAAAGCACTGTGTGGCCCTCCCCATTTGTGTGTGCACACTGTTGACTGCCCATGCTTCTGTACTGGTAGTCTTGAATACAAGTTGTCCTCGTTGGTGTGAGCTGAGGCAGGTGTACGTGTACCTGTGGTGTTTATGTGACCATGGAGGAATGATACAAATGAGTTGCTACTGAAGTGCACAAACCTGTGCTGTCTTTCCTGAGGAGTATCGGTTTTGCACTGTACTCAACTCAGGCAATGGAAAAAAGAATTGCTGTGGACTCGATCTTGCTCCCACTCATGGCAAAAGACTCATGCTTGGATATCAACTGCAACACTGGAGAGGAGACTCATAGTTAAGTGCGCGGAGAAAACTTGAAATCCCACTTGAAATTTTGAGGCCGCGGATGTAGTAGAATCGGTAGACCGGTTAAGATCAACTTGTGCAGCATTTCTCAGTCGTCATAGCTCCCACAGACAAGGATAATCCTGATAAGTCCTGAAAGAAATGTTGTCCTAGAAAATCATTGGAAAAACTACATGTACATATTGGGTCTCCTAGAATCATGTTGTCAGAAGGAAACTAGTCATGGAAATCAAGATCATGCAAAGTATTTTTGGGGGGAAGGATGGCTACTTTTGACTTCATATGGAATGATAAATTCTAGATTCCTTGTCAGTCTAAAGTAGTGGCTATGGCAGTCCTCCCGTTCACAATACCAAAAAAACTTTTCTCTATGTCAAGGGAGTTGTCTTGTTTTAATCTAGGAAGTTCCAGGAAAAGTCATGGAACTTGTTTTTCAGTTTCCTGTGGGAACTCTTTTGTCATGGCAACAGCCCCTGTCAATTCATTGACCCAGCATTGCAGACCTCTGTCTTTCCCCTGTAAGACTGTTCTGGGAAGAATATGTTCCAAACAATGGTGGTGAATATCCACAACCCCCCCTCCCCTTTCCAAACAGGTTTTTTGGCTCCTGTCTGCCCAGACACCACTGTTGCGTGGTACCAGGAGTGATTGAACACCAACCTTGATCATCATCCCAATCTCTAGGTGATCACTAAAACCAGTCCTTTAGATATACATGTAAATGGTATGTCGGCAAACATGTCATGCATTGTAATAATCCAGGCCAACCTACAGGGTACCTATGGGGTCAAGAGATGAACAAACTTTAATACTGTCAGGTACCCGGTACGGTTACCAGGGGATGCAGCAAGGAGTGAGTACCACCTGGTGCCACTCTGATTCAACACAACCCCCTGCAATATTGAAATAAAATTTTCCGGAGGAAAACATCTGATGGGCTGTAAATCTTATACAAAGGGTAAATCAGTCCATTTCTGATTGATTTATGGTTATCATTTCATCTTGTTTATTGTGGCTTGCTTGTCAACACAAGAAACTTGGCACATATTTTCAACATCTTGAAGGAAGACCAAATACACTCTGCATTTTTAATTTCCCTAAAATATTATTTTCATTTCTTTTCATCATTACTGTCTGCCTTTATTTTCTCCCTTAAAAGTAAAAAGTCTGTTGCACAGTTTCTTGCATGAGTATGGGCTTGTGACTATGCAGAAACAGTCCTTCAGAAGAGAATCAATGGTGGTCATGTTGAAGCCATTTGAATTGTGGGGAGCCACAATCGCCAAGGATTTTTGCCTATTACTGTGCTTGGATTGCAGTGCCTGGCCATGAGGTCTCACATGCTACAGCCTTGATGACCAGGGGTTCGGGGACAGGCAAGAGTGAACAAGCATGAGCTTGGCCTTCCCTTGGAGGTCATGCACAGCATGGGGCTGTGTCAGGGGTTGTGTCTAGCATTCTCCCCAGGGTTGTGTGATATTCATTGCACAGAGAAAAATCATTCTGCACCTTCATGTTAATCCCTTGATGATTGGCTTTTGGACTCGTTGGTTATTACAAAGCATTGGAAGTCATAATTTTTTCTGTCTTGAAACAGGTAGTCTGGCTTGGTAGTTCTAAGGCTACTACTTGCATAACTGAAGAGACTTTGATTCACAAGGTTCACCTGAAGTCCTTTGTGGTGTCATTGAAAAAAAAATTGGTACATGTACATGAACTGTACATGAGGATAAATGCAAATTTGCAGTATTTTACATAAAGCAGAGCATAGTTATTCTATTGTTCACTCCAGAGGGCACTCTGGGGCTCCATTCCTACAGTGCAGTGGAGTGGGCTATTGCCAGCTATTTTATATAAATAGTAAGGGAGCGATCAAGAAGGGGGCCGGGGGTTTTGCGCAGTAAACCTCGAGGTTTTTTGAGGTTCGGCTGCATGAATGGCTCTTGAATATACATGCAAAATTCTTGAGCTACAGGTCAACTTCACACGCATGAGTGGTCACATGATGAAGCTGTCAGCGCTGGGAACAACAGAGCTACAGCAGACAATGATCGATGGTGGCTGCTATTAGAGATTAAAAGATTAAAGGATTAAAGGAGTTTACTGGTCTTGGTAAGGAAGGTATCAAATTACATGTAGGATTACTAGGAGATTATCTTGAGGCTTAAATTACTCTTTTGTCCATGCCTTAGGGTCCTCTGCGTGGCGATTAATCAAAAGTGTTCCTCGACCGAGGCTGCCCGATGCGCGCTGACCTGTGGATAATGAGCTCATTATAGTACGATGAGAGAAACCTCGAAAAACCCAGCAGCCCCGCGAGGTATACCACGCGCAAAACCTCCAGGGCCCCTTCTGGATCACTCCCTAATGTTGACTGACTAGGGGCTTGAAATCGGTGCTTGGGTGTTGAAAGGAATAAGTCTGTTCTGATGAGGCTGGATTATCCATGGATCCATGTGTAATGTTTGTATAATAGCTTAATGTAAAAAAACGAAATGGGGCATCATTCAGTGTTCAAAATTCTTTAGTATTTTCTCTATGAGTAAAGAGTATTAGGTGTTTTTTTAACATTGAAGGTAATTTTGTCGGTCTGTTTGCTTTCCCTTCCTTCCAAAAGTGTGCAACAAGCCCCCAAATGTAGCCTGACCCCTCAGAAAATCCATTAAAAATTATATGGATGACATTCAAAATATTCTGAGGTTCCCCTCTCCCCAAAAATGTTTGCCCACTCCCCAAAAAACAATGGTCTGGATCTTCCCTACGGACATGTACATGTATGCTGGTCGACTGTTTAAATTGTGTAAACAACTTGACATATGCTAGACGTCCTGCCATAATCAATGTAGCGAAGTGAAATTTCAAAGTCATTGCGGGCAGGCACCCCCTACCCCAATGTTTTGTTTTCGGGAGGGAGTGGCAGAAGCAGTCCAAGGGGTAGGCTGCATTGGGTGTTTGTAGCTGCGAGTATGAAATGACTGACAAAGTTCGCTTAAGATGCAGCGGTTTCGAAATATTTCTGAAGATTTTCGAAAGTCATTTGTCCCATTTCAAAATAATGATTTTGAAAATAATGACTTTGTTGTTTTTAGAAGAAGCCCATCTGAAAATAACAGCTTAAAGGTGGTCCTGACGTGTTCTGCTCAGTGCAACCTGTCAGATTATTAACCTACCGTAACCCCCTAGGGTGTATGTAAAATTATATTAAAATCAGAGGATTAGGGACTGTTAGGATTAATGTAACCAGCCCCTCCCCCCAGTTCTTATAAAGTTCAAGGGAAAATACATTCAGCATGTGAGATACATGTATTATTGTAAAATGCCTGAATTGTCACATAACTGAAGGTGTTAAATGGTGTTGATAAAAGGTTATTGCATTGAATAGTTAAATTATTTGTTGTAAGCATCATGAGCCTCTGCTGGGGAAGAACGGGTATGTTTCCTGTTTAGAACCTTACAGTTGACAGAAAATACCTGTTTAACTATTTTAAAGCACGATAGGCTTAAAAACTGGTACATGTGTGTATTTCATTGAAACCAGGGCTTTATAAGTGCATACATGTTGGCTGGTTATACTAGTGGCCTGAGGAAATCCTGGAAAAAAGTGTGAAAAAATGTCCGTTTAGAGTTTGGAGAAAAACTTTGGAATGGAAAACCCTGGAATGTAATTTCAGGGGAACCCATGGAATCAGATGGGGGCAGAAAAAGTCAACCCTTGGCCCAAGGTGGGATGTGAACTCCGGTCTGAGAGGCAACTGGAGGAAAAGTACCACACATACACATTTCCCCTCCCCCTGTACCTCCATCTCTTCCTTTTTCTGCCTGACAGTCTTATATGCTCATATTAAGACATACCCTTTTAATTGTCGTTTTTGTCTTGCCAAACCTGTGCAGGCATCGGACAACGAACGTGACATTAATCTCCTGAAAACGCGGGTTTCAGCACTGGAGAACCAAGGAACTGGCAATCTGGAAACCAGGGTAAGTAGAGAGATGAAGGGGCCCATGGAACAGAGTTGCTGGGTGTAAACATCTGCCGAGCAGAAAGATATGATTTGCTCAGCCAAAAATCCCAGAGGCCATGCAGTGTAAATTTATTGCTAGAGGGGATAATAGCCTGAAATCCAGTTGAGCGCGTGGAGGTGCAGTGTAGAAAATTGGCTTAATGTCACAGGATCAGCCTACTGAAGAGAGTATCAAACATAACCAAAAACTTGTATTCAATTGACATGTCCAAAATGTAAAATTTCATCAGCTGCTGATCAGAGTCACCTGACGGAAGCATGGATTAGTTGCTAAGACACTGGAAACAGTTGCGTCAGTGTGGGCTAGGGTGAAATGGTACCGGTACCTCAGTGCTCAACGTCGTTGAATAATCTTTGGCAGTGGTGACCAGTGTGAACGTTGCTTCAAGATGGGTCAGCAATGTATGCAAAGGATTAATAGGTGAACACTCAGCAATGTGATACAACATTGGCCCGTGGCCAAGCTTATGTAAAATTGGCACGACACCAAGCTTTTCTGTGAAGAAAAAATATCAGGTGGGAGGGATTCTGATTGGTATTTCAGCAAACAGTTTTAATGAAGTAATCCAACTTCTTTGTTGCTTGCATTTGCTGTAAAGGGCTTCACAAATAAGCTGCTTCAGTATTTGCGATGGCCAGGAAATGGCAGTGAAGTACAGTGAACCAACACATACACTGATGAGCCAAGAACCCTTGGCAGTCAACTTGCTACTGGTGCTGTGGAGCCTGTTATCTTACTTCACAGGTGCTTTCACTGATCAAGTCACACGTCCTTTCAACACGACCAGTCACAAATGACAGGATGAACAGGGTAGTGGTTGGCTTGCGATGAACTTGGATTTGCAGGGACTTGTTATGGTCTTCACTGCAACAGGGTTTTCCACTGGGATGGGCCCAATCTTTTCTTACTGCTTGTAACTGACTTGCCACTCTTAATGAACTTCCAAACATTTTCTGAATTTGATCCTGTTTCCTGCAACTTGAAAGGAAAAACTACAGGGTAACAGTGGCAGGAGTTACCTCCATTACTCTTTGTATCTTTTTGTCTGGCCAAAAATATGCAGGATAGGTTGGCAAAAAAGAGAGCCTTGAGGTTTTCCTGGCCAAATTGAAAAGTTGAATAAAAGTATGTCACAGACTAGTGGAGAGAGACAGTTTCTGTTATGCAAAGGGATTTGTCGTTATTATTGAATTGACACAGAGGATTAAGTGAAAAATTTGTTTGCTTATTCTTTGCTACCTGTGCCAGATGATATTCGATTTCACTTGACTGAATATCAAGCACTTGCTTGTTATCAAAGACATTTTATACACATGTACATGTATTTTAACCCTGAGGGGGAAGTGGCCCGTGAGATCAACATTACATGGACCATTGCACCCTAAAGAACTTTGACAAAGAGCTTGGATGCAATAATCAGACCAGCAATGGATACAATCGTGTTTTGTTAGTCTGCTATGTCTGCGGACATTTATCTTCTAGTTTTTGGGGCGAGAAGCTCTGTAAATACGGCTTGCTTCAGAATCAGCCAAAAATAGATTCCCGGGCCACTACCATTTTCCACTTCCGCAACATTCGATGTCCTTTGGTGGGGGGGAGAGAGGACCTGGTAGCTTGCATTTTGGGGGGGGGTGTTTTTTTAGTCTTCCCACTTTTTCCGAACCACCATTTCTGCCAGTCCAACCATCACCACACTGCAAAAGCTGTTCTGTTCTTCCATGGAATGTCTTTAATTTGCTTGACATGTTGCCCAAGTATACCTCAACTTGAATGCAAATTGGGCGTTAAAGGAAAAACAGTTCAAAAGGGGAAGTTCCTTGGATCTTATTTCAGGTAAAATTACCAAATTGCACTTGTTTGTAGCATGGGGGGTTACAAGATACACTGTAGCCAACCTTTATAAAGCCAATGTGACAACCGTGAAGTGCATGTACTGTACATATAGTTGTATGCATAGTTGACCGAGGAGTTGATCTAAAAAGCTCAGGTCTCAACTGTAATCCCTTGAGCCTCAGATCTAAGCAGTACTTGATTTTCCATTTCCGCGGCATCTGCAGCCCTTTCTTTCTTTCTGTTACCACTACCCTCTTTCTAAAAAATGGGCTTCAGCATGAGTTTCCAAAAAAACATTATGTAAAAACTCAATGACTTGAGATAGAAACAGCAAATTCAAAGTACTTGCAGCTACCTAGACTGGGCTACTATTACTCTCCATATTGCCATTTTGAACATTTGGACAAGATCACATTTTGGAACTACCCACTACCAATTTTGTTTGTTGATTTTTGTTGTGTGTGTTTTTGTTTGTTTTTGTTATCTTCCTGTTGATATATGTCTAGACTAAAAGCAAATCACTAATCAACAGGGTCTTTTCTTGCCATGTCAAAGTTTAAGTTTTGCTTGTACATTGTATCCGTACCTGATAAAACTGTGGCTGGCACTTAGTAGAATGCTTCACAAAGCGTTTGAAAATGTCATGCAAAGCACCAAATGAGCAAGCCCTACATGTAAGTGTCAAAGACTCAGACCCTCTTTGAAAGAATCAGTGCAAGTGAAATTTTTTTTTCTAAAATCTGGCACAGACCAAAGGTGTTATTTCTGTCAACGTTGGCCACCCATGCGAAACAGTCGACACTTTGAGAGCAGTCTATTGGCACTCTAGAGCAGACTGTTTTCCCAGTGTATGCCAGTCCTGAATTGTGCCCTGGATCATTGTTTTTCCCTTTTTTTGTTTTTGCGTGAATATTTCTCAAAGGGATGGAAACCTGGAACATTGTGGGGTTTTTTTAGATTTGCCAGAGGGACTATATGATTAAACTCTCGTTTTTTTGTAGAATGTTGTTGTTGGTATGCATGCTACTGAGTACATGTATATTCTGAGTGAGCACCAATCAGCCGTCAAGATGGAATTGTGCCTCCACAAACTGCTTTTTTAAGGAAGGGGGTTGTTGTTGGTTTTTGGTTGTGAGTGCAAAAACATGTTTTTGAGGTTGGCTGGAAATATGCCACGAGATCTTCCTGTATTGACCACCTGGCCCTTCTTAGTTTAGCGGATCTTACCAAAAACCAGTAATTTTAACTAATGTGACTGTTTACATTGTGAATTCCTACTCTTGGGGATTGATTTGGATCATTTAACAGAATGAAATAACATGAAAGCCCTAAAGAGAATCTGTGTCCACACAAGTGTACTGTTGGTGTCTGCCTGGAGCAGACGTGCTCCCTCATCGGTTAAAAAGAGCAGCCTTGGTTGGGGGTATTCATTTTTTTGACAATGACACAACCGTAAAACATGCATTTTCTTGTCATTCAAGAACCAGCAAAGGTCACTTCCGACCAAAGGAGCCCCCATTGCTAAGGTCCAGCTTGAGGCCCACAGAGGGCTAGTGCATGAGCTTTTCGCCTTACAAACAGTGCACCAGCATTTTTCCATGTGAAACACAGATCAACCCATGGTCAGATAAGCAAACTGCACCATTAAGGTACATACATAAGTACATGCATTTTAGGAGATTTTGAAAAATCAGAGAAGACATTGTATTCAGTGAATTTGTTGGGGAAAGTAGCAGTAGACAGGAGGGAAGTTGGAAGTTGTCCACCGTTGCTCACCAGGATCAATTTCATGGAGTTATTAAGCATACCAATGCAGTTTCTATCGTAGGTCTTTACTTTATTTACCTTGGGATCATTGGCCAGAGTGTGGTGATTTACATGTAGGCTTGTACTTTTTTGTTAATGAAAAACAGCTTTATGAGTGAGTTAAGTTCATCCGAGGCTGGGTTTTTACGGTCCACCATTGCTCTGTTCCAGGGTCACTAGCAGGCATCTTTTCCCTCAAAACCATTTGTCATTGATCTCGCACAGCCTGTCGGCACGGCAGATTTCAAAGCGTCCTTTGTTTCGGTTCCACAGGTTCCATTGTGCATAATAGTGTTTGGAAAATTACTACAATACTACATATCTTTATGCATTTCAATACCCAGTTCACCAGATGCTTGCCTCTTTACAATTCATCAAAAGTGCAGTCATTATTTAGGGTTCTCCCCCACAAATTAGCCGGCTATTGATCGCGGCAGTTGAGCCGTGAAACTGTTTAACTTCCACATCTCTGTTACAAGGATAAATGTCAATTTTCCCCTTCTTGATTACAGGTTGCGACTTTGGAGCAACAAGTGCAGATGCTGACCAATGTAAGATTGAATTTTGTCATTGAAGGTTGATAAAATGTTTTTGGATTAAAGAATAAATATGTATGTCTCGATGAACTTGGTGTTGGAAAATAATAATGCCTCACAGTGACACCAGGCAAAGTAGCAGAAGTATAAGTGGTCTCAAAAATGCAAAATTAACCAAGGGTAATTTGAGGTTTTACCCTGAGGTAGGTGTACTCCTATTCTCAATTAAACTTCTTCAAATTAAACTAGGGCAATTCAAGGTTTAATGTTTTATTCGGTGCTCTACCCTGAGATGATGATAGAAACTCTTAATCATTGCAAGGTTTTATTTCGTACATTTACAACTTGTGAAAGATTGTGGAAAGAGTCCCCTTGTTTCGGCAGAACATTCGTTGTTGGAAGTTTTCGTTCACACAAGCTCAGGTTTCTATCTAGGCTGTTGTGTGGGCGTTTCATATACACAGTCTCAATTTTTTTTTCATTCATAAATTACAGGTGCAGAGAGGCATCTGGGTCACATACTTTGCTGTCAGAATGTGGTTTTTGGAGGGTTATAGGTGCCATTTGCTCCGAGTGGGGGGGAATATATTTATGAACCACTCCCTCAAACTGGATGCAGTTCTTTGTGTCGTTCTTAGAGACGCTCAATTTATTTTAGCTGAAAAGCTCCTTATCAGGTGATTCTGAAAGATGGGGGATTTCATGTCAAGGGGGTTAAGAGTAGGTGTAACTCACAGGGAAAAACTAAGTTGCTTTGACTTCAAATATACAAGTAGCTTTAGTACAACAGAGAGAGCGTGTAAATGTAATCATACTTGTGAAGGCATGAACATTTCAAATTTTCATAATAAGTGAACGGAGAATTCTGCCAATGAGGACATGAAATGGAGCTTCCAAAAAGCTTTCAAACAAGCAGCATACTGTTGAATAAAAGGGGCGTGCCACTCGACAAACTTCAAAAGGATATTTACAGGAAAACAGATGTTAAGGATATTAAGCTTAATCTGAACATTCCTTCATGTGGCGGAACAACCATTCTTAGAAATTTTTCCAGACAACTAAATATAGGAAGCACCTTGATAAGTTTGATTTGGCATGCACGTACTGGTACATGTAGAATGACTTTCCAATGTGCCCAAATTCTGTTGAAGATGTCATTAAAATTTTGATGAGGCAAAGTACTCATGATCAGGAAGATTTGAAGTTAGTGCTGCTTAACTCTTTTGAATGCATGCATGATAGATAACTCTGAGAACCGCTCAAGGGGTTGAATGGTGTGCCAGGTCAGCATTTGAATAAGGCTTGGTCATGCTTGGTCAGCACCTGGCAGTCTGAACATGTTCAGTGCATGCAAGTCTGCTCACAGTCATGTTGAGAGTGTTGATGGTGTGCACCCGTGAAGTGATGTTCTTGTGTGACCATTTTGAGCATGCCCCCATTGAAAGACCACATAGATTCACTTGATATATTGGTGCTCTGTTTGTCTTCAGAAGACAACCCCCTTGGAAACTATCCCAACTTTTTTTTTAGGGGGGGGTGGAAATGAGGGATTAATCTCATGTGCTCTTGTTTAATGCAGAATTTGAATAGTAATGACTGTCAGAACAATCCTTGTCAACATGGAGGCACCTGCATCAATTTGTATCAGGGCTACCAATGTCGCTGTGTAGCTGGCTGGCAGGTGGGTTAAAGTGCAAGCCGCTATTAGAGCAGTCTTCCTATTGGCTCTTTTTTCTCTAGGAGTAATTAGTGATTATACATTTGTATGTGTATTTCCTTAGTTTTGCAAGAGAGTGGCACTGAGTCATTTACCAGATGTCATCTCTATCCAATGAAATATTTCTTGTTTCTAACTAGAAAAGGCGCATTCATACCTGGTCCCAAAGCAAACATGAATGTAAAATTTTGACATCAGGTGGAATATTTGTTCTGCGAAATTGCACAAGTTAAACACATTTCACCTTTTAGGCAAATTTTTTCTGCAAATGTTTCATAACGTCCATTTGGATTCCCTTTCGCATTCCTGTGAAGTCTGAATCAGATTTCATTTTTATCGTGGATCTTTATGATTTTTAATCTGAGTCGTGGAAACGTCACTGATGAGCAGCCCCCTTGGTTATGGAAATTTTGCAAGTTTAATCTTTAGTGATGATCATGGGGAAAAATGAAGATGTGTTGTAGCAGACCCGGTAAAGTCAAGGACACAGACTGGAGAATTACTCTCTTCAAAATGTTGCCAAGACTTTGTTTGGACATCATGAATAATGCATACAATGTGATTTTTTGCAGGGTGATACCTGTAATGAGGATGTCAACGAGTGTGCCATCATCGTCGGAACAGAGGACGAATGCCAGAACTCTGGAACATGTGTCAACACTGCAGGAAGTTTCCGGTTAGTGTCAAGAGTCAGGGAGGCATTTCTTAAAGGCTTCTCATGTTTTTCTCGACTGCCCAAGCTATTTTGGCTACAATTCTCTCACAGCTCCTTATCAAACACCCCCTCCACCCAAAAAACCACCTATAAACAAAAGAAAGACAAAATATTCCTTTCCTATTCGGTTATATCATTGGTGATAGACCCTCATTTCAGCCAGAAGTTTTTAAAGGCAAATTTATGATATTTAAGCTTAGAGAAATGACTTTGAAAATTAGGCAACAGAAGATTTGTCCTGCGAATTCTCCTAAATCAATTATTTTGTGACTTTGTAGATGTCAGTGTGAGCCCGACTGGTTCGGTCCGCAGTGCACCATCAAATACGATGACTGCAGTACGGCATCTCATGATGACTTGTGTGGGCATGGCTACTGCGTCAATGATCCCAGGGTTGTCGCGGGAAGAGTGAGAATCATCATTAAATCTCTTCTGAATTTGCTGCAGTGCACATTAATACAGGAATGACCCAAGATTGGTCAAGAACTCGACCTGATAACGAGCCTTCTTCCCTTTTCCTGCAGCCCAAATACTCCTGCATCTGCGTGGAAGGTTGGCAGACGGACGGCACCAGCAACCCAGCCTGTATCCAGGACGTTGATGAATGCTCTGGTAGGGAGTACCCCTGCTCGTCAGATCCCCTTGTCCAGTGTATCAACGTGCCCGGCACTTACTACTGTGGTACCTGTCCTACAGGTGAGCACCTGGAGTGATAACTAGCATATGATGTGCTCTCTGTTGGTGGTGTCTGTGAACTCGTTTGTAAAGGAACTGGATGGAAATGACTGTGTGGTCTTCGTCTCAGCAAACATTTGCACTACTTACATACACAGCACCATTGCACGTGGGGCTCCTTGTTTCATAATTATTATCACATGAGCTTACCATTTCTCTGTGCTTTCTGTTTTGTTACATGCAGGCTACACCGGTAATGGGCACCAGTGCAATGATGTGAATGAATGCTTAACAAACAACGGCGGCTGCTCCGTCTCGCCACTGGTGCAGTGCACCAACACACCAGGATCGAGGCAGTGTGGCCCGTGCCCCATAGGTAAAATTGCAGAGAGATTGAGAGCTGAAAATCCACATTGTAATAGTTACTAAATCTAACATTGGCACAGTTTCTCGTCCCGGCTCAGTTAAGAATCTTTGCAAACGATACAAGAAAATTTTGTGCTAGTTGGTCGCATGTTTCACAGGAGGTGTGGTTATGTATGCACAAGCCATCCGTGCACTTAAAGTCCCATAACTAAAGGATTCTGTGATTACCCAGTGCAGAATCACCGCGCTTACCTGGTGAGTGCAGAAATTCTGTTCTTATGTTTTTCTTTAAGCCCAGAATTTGACAGTTACCAGAGTTGCGAAAGCGGTGCCAAATCTTCTGTGGTGCCTGACATCTCTGTGAATGGGAAATCAAAGAGGCCAAGTAATTGAAATGCCAAGACGAATCATGGCCTCATTCGAGAGATGAATGACCATTTCATTTTTGTTTCTGGGGTTTCAGGCTACATCGGTGATGGTGTAGTATGCACTTATGTGGGTGTTTGCCAGCAGAATAATGGAGGCTGTTCACCTTATGCCACTTGTTCCGAAAACTCAGGTGGGTTGTGGATTAAAAGAGCCTGAAGAACTCAAGAGATTTGAAGAGTCAGTCCCAACAGAAATACCCACATTTACTTTTTTGAAGTTACAGCTTTTGCTTAGAGATTAAACGTCTCTTTGGAAAGAATGTTTTCTCCGCCAAAATGAATTCCCTGTAATTAATGATTTTCAAAGTACAGTTAACAACAATGAGCAATTCTGTGCCTTGAGATTTAAAAAATCATCATGATTAAAATAGTGATATCTATAACAAGCAGTTATGGGGGTAAATGTTAAGCTATCATTCAATTCTTTTTGTTTTCCTCAGCACAGTATTTAGGTGTAGAACTCTAGTGCTGAAATTCAATCCTTTTTTTGTTCTTCTCACCTCCACCCCCAACAAATTAAAAAACATCAGGAGTGCCAAGCGGGCGCATCTGCACCTGCAATCCGGGCTACACGGGTAACGGGGAGGGCCCCAGCGGGTGCGTGCCCTCTACAGGGCCGACCTGCCAGGACAACCCCTGCGTCAACGGGCGCTGCGAGACCCTGGGCAGCAGCTTCCGCTGCGTCTGCGACCCAGGCTGGCAGGGCGACCGCTGCGGCCAGGACATTGACGAGTGTGCTAGCACGCCCTGTGACAATGGTGGCACCTGCCACAACCTCATCAACGGCTTTGACTGTGACTGTGCGGATGGATTCAGCGGAGATCGCTGCCAGGAGACCCAGCAGTGTAAGTTGGCATTCCTTTTGTGGGCAGCAGGTCTGTGCCGGGATCCCCACCCGTCGATATCAAAAGCCTGCTCTATTTTTTTTCAGGCGAGGCAGCTGTAAAAGAAAGAAAAAAAATCTACATATAAAATGTATGTGAACTTTAATAGTGACAGGAAATATTTTGCTCAAAAATCACTGAAGGTAACAATTTTGTTCTATAAAATTGTGGGGAGATCCCCTCTAACGTTTGGTCTCGACTGCAACACTGCTAAACACACACCTGTAGCAGAGTGCGAAATTAGACCAAAAAAGTGCTCGGAGAAATGTGATAACATAATCAGTTTTGTTCTGCCATTACCATCTTTTGATCTGCCAATGGACAGTGCCATATTATGTAAAGGTAGAGTTGTAATGTACAATGTCAGGGGCAAAATTCACTTTTTTTTCCTGGTCCTACCAGAACTGCACATGCAGCAGTATTGAGCAATCCTTTTTCGGGCGCAGGACGCGACAATTTTTTTTAGTTTACCTGATCAGGCAGGCCATATCATAAATTTGCTTACTCAAATTGGATCAACACGTAACAAAGATTTCTCAAAAACCATGATTGTTGTTATTTAACTTAAGGCCTAGCCATTTTCATGGCTATGCTTTGTGTTTACATTGAATCACTGCTGACTGTACTAGTAGTTAGAATTCTACATTTACAGTTATAGTGCTCTTGACAAGTTAGCAAGAAAGTTAGGGTTGTACTCTTGTGTAAATCCCGCAACTAAGGATTCTGTGTATTTTAGTATTTTTGTTCAACCAAATACTCCATCCATATACATGTATGAGCTGAAAAATGAAAGGCTTTATTAATAATTATCATACCTCTCTCTCGGATACTGTCTCTTCATTGGCTCAGAATGATCTCACGTCAGGGCGATATATCCACATATCACACCCACTGTCGGACATTCTGCTGATAGCACTCGTGCATGAGACAGAGCTTCGGGAAGTTTGAGAGCGACCGTTATCGCTCACTTAGTCAGTCTTGCATGGTACCTATGATAAGTTTTGTGCGTAGGTTAACAGGGAATTTGATCAATGGTTGTGCTTGTATAACAGACTCATTCCCGTCCCTGCAGCATTTAAGGTAATGCAGAGACTGCTAACCAGACTTCATGACATGCGAACTTGTACTCACTGGTACCCGCACTACTTTCACATTACAAGTTTACACAATTTTAAAGAAAGTGAGAGAACAGTGCAGTTGCAGACAATATCGTTTATGTCTCTTATGTTAATTATGCACTATGCATCCCTCGGGTGCTCAAAACATCATATCCCACATCACAGCAGTCAGCAATTGTTAGGTAATCCATGATGTTATATTATGGGCAAAACAAGTCATCTACACTCAGCTGTGTGCTGTGTGGACTATCACAGTTCACGTGGTGAAAAACTTGTAGTTTGCTCAATTGGATTTGGTACAAAAATGGACTCATTTTCATATAGACATGTTGCACTTGAGTCATCAACTGTACCTAAGGCATTATCTGCTTGGGCTTATTTGTAATGGTGAATTTATGTTCTCCCCCCCCAAAAAAGTGGAATGATAAAGAAAGCAGTGTGCTTTATATGTCTAAGCCAAGAATGTGGTAGCAAAGGAGAGCCAGGCTGATATAATGGGGTTCCTACATGTACATGTACAATTTAATGGCCGTTGGGTTATAAAAACCATCATTGTGGATTTTGCCAACTATTAGAAATTCAAGTGGCTGTTGAAGAATTGTTACTGGTAAACTGGCTGAATTAAAGTAGCCATTGAGGTTGTTGTTGCCGTGGTAGTTTAGTTGTTTAAGGAGTGTTTTTCATTGGTATTCAGGGGTGAGGTTTATCCTGATTTTTTCTGATTTTGGGATTTTTTCATTACAATGTTACTGATTTCAGGATTTTTTTAACAATCTCGTAAAATCTGGAAAGTCCTGAAGTTACTTATGAGGTGATTTTATGTACCAGTCTAAAAGTTGATGCAGAGCATAAGAAATGAGTATTTAAGGGATGCTAGGCAAACACCATAGACACAACATGACTGTGGGACCCCTTAGCCTCTGGTGATTAGTTCATGGATTTTTCGTTTTCCTTCAATCTCATCCCTGGGTATTAGATTTTGGCATTTCATAGATTTTGCCAGCATATTGGAAGAATTGATGTGACCATATTTTACCTTGCTGTTTATGTGAACTTCTAGGAAAATGTTTAAATGAAATTGCATCCTTTTACAGCTTGTGGTGGATATCTGAACGGAGCTACTGGTTATTTTGAGTTCCCGCCTCTTGGCCAAGTCTACGATCATGGCCTGAGTTGTGCCTGGGTCATCACCGTTGATGCCGACAAGGTAGGCCCTTCAGAACTGAACAGTACCAACCATGAATTACCTTTTATTATGCAGGAAATTTGGCTGAGCTATACGCATGGGGGCAAAAATTCAAAAAAATTAATAATGTGACAAACGAAGTGGGGAATTTAATGGGGAAACTTGGACTTTTTTGCTCACAAATTTATAACATTCCTGAAATGAGCTGAATTCCTCAGTTTTATTCGACCTGCATTTATATTTCAAACATGCCAGTGAGAAACATTCTGCCAAGTCTTCTGCAGTTAGGACTTGCTCTTTAAAACTTTTTTTAAAAAGTTAATTTTAGCATGACAGGACAGATTGAAAGATGTTTGGAAATGGAAGGGCTGGGGTAGTTACAAAAGAAAAAAAAATTAAAGAATTGAAAGAGGAAATAAAAATTGAAGTTGATGACCCTCTAATGACTGTGATGTGATGGATTTTGAACCCCCCTCCCTTTCAGGTTATTTATATCACCTTTGCACGCTTCAAGCTGGAGTACCATCCGAACTGCGACTTCGACTTCCTCCAGATCAATGACGGTGACTCGGCCAGCGACCAGCCCCTGGGCCGCTTCTGCGGCGACACGCCCCCCAGTGCCATCACCAGTACCCACAACCAACTGTACTTCTGGTTCCGCTCAGACGGCAGTGTCAGCTATGAGGGCTTTGGGATCAACTGGGCCAGCCAAGACCCCGGTAGGCTGGACTTTCTAATTTCTGATCTCCGGGGTTGTGATCACTGAAAATTTTCTAAGGATATCAGGATTATCTGGGCAGTTTTTGCAAGGCTGTCAAAAATTCTTGTTTCAGGGGTGGGATTACTCAGGATTTAAAATCACCCGATATTTTACTATTTTTTCACATTATTCTGTACTATGTAAGCCAGTTATTTTTTTTCACTTGCCCTGGCCTTGATTGATAAATAGTGCAGTTTAAAAAATCTCCCAAAACAACCAAACAAAATTGTCCTTGTACCACCAGTCTGCGGTGGAGATTTGTCCAATAGTAACCACGGCAGTATCAACTCCCCCGGTTACCCTGGCAACTACCCAATCAACCGAGACTGCGTCTGGACTGTCACGGTGGATGCAGGGCTGTACATCACCTTTGCCTTTGGCACACTGCAGCTTGAGCACCACGACACCTGTGCTTACGACTACCTTGAGGTGCGTGTTATTTAATCTTGAAATTGTGGATGTTTTTTGTGCAACATGAATTCCACGGTAAATTTCCACTTGTGGACAATAAATAATTGAATTGAAATGATCATGCGCCCTGTGGTCTACCAGAGGTAGACAGAGGAGACTTCTTTGTACAAAGGCACATTCAAATGAAGTGTTGCAACTTGTTCTCTGATTTTTGAAATGTGATGTCGGCCACATCACTGTTTGATTCATTTCCAAAATTTACCCTTTTGTTTAGATCCGAGATGGTCTGACTGAGAGTGCACCTTCCCTTGGCAAATTCTGCAGCACCACTACCCCGGCTCCGGTACAGACCACAGGCCCATATGCTTTTGTCCGTTTCCACAGCGACGGATCACTGACGGACACAGGATTCCATATAACCTACACGTCAACATCCAGTACGTAGCCAGCCAATGTCAATCTTTATGTCCACTTTTGGGGTACCAAAGGTGTGGGGCGGATTTTGATGGCCTTAGTTTATTTTTCCTGTGGCTATTCCTGATTAGGCACATGTTGGTTCTTTTATCCTTGTGATGGAATTGTTTCAGTTCAATTTCAGATCAAGCTGCGAATTTTCAACAAGTGATAAATATGTCCTAGTGTTTGTTCACTGTGTGATGAATTTTCGATTTGGAAGAATGCCAGTTTTGAGGAATTTCTAGGAAACTCCTCTGCATTAGTTTACATGTTTCAAACACATTTTTGCAATTACTGACCTTTCCCAAGTCACAATTACCTGGTTTACGGGGCTTGCAATTTAAACTTTTGTTTGAAAAAATGCAGGTACTTGAACTAATGGACCTTTTGTTACTCGTGCCAAATTAAAAGTTGAACTCTGATGGGAAAACTAATAGCTGTATTGCTGTATATCTCATGATTCATCCTAATATTTGCGAGTTAACCAGAATGTATCTTTGGATTTTAAACCTTAAAGCTCCAAGTAATAATTTTTGTATGAAAATTCAAGGATGCAAAATTGACTCGTTTAGACGATTAATAAGAAATTATAACTGTTTTTTGCGATGCTCTAAAGATAGATGAGACTAAAATTCTTCAAAACTTGAAGTTTTTCTAACAAAAGAAAGAAATTTCAATCTGTCTTTTCCAGAATGATATTGTATTACAACAAAACAGAAACAAAAGCTTCAAACCAAATTCGCAAAGTTTATAGTTGAAACAAAACTTCACCCAAATTGCATCAGCGTTGACCAGCACGGCATCATCAGTACATTGACCTCTTTACTGTTGTCTTTGATGAGCAGTTGCTCCTCAGTGCGGTGGGGCCCTGACAGCGGACAGTGCCATCATCATATCCCCCAACTACCCCAACCCGTACCCTCATGACGTTGAGTGTATCTGGACCGTACAGATCCAAGACAATGGCAGGATCAAGTTCACCATCACTGACTTGTCCATCGAGGAGCATGCCAACTGTGTCTATGACTATGTGGAGGTGAGCTTTAGAGAAATAAAAAAAAAGCTGCAGCTCAGATGTTATGAAGGTTAACCACTGGCTGCCGGGTGATTTTAAAAATGCAGTGTACATGTACGGAAGATTTTTAAGATTTTAAGTTTTCAAAATTCTTCAGAAATTCATCATTTCATTTAATGGATGTTTACACCCACATGAATGACTGTTTGGTGGCAGCTCTAAGATGACAGGCAACCTTCATTGACTCCTGAGTATTTCAGCCAGGCCTGCCACCCTGTAAAGAGAGCCCAGAATCGTGAGGTGTCAGTGAATGCGATTGGCGTCTTTTCAAACGCGGCTGGATTAGAATACAGCGGTCCTGTGTCGCTCACTAATGGTGCCCTGGAGCACTTATATCCGCAGTGCTAATCCGTGGGCGGGCCATGTCCAAAACAGTGGTATACTGTTTAAAAGCAGTGACGGATTACCTTCGAAAAATGCAAGCCAAAAAATGATGGCAATTCCCAGCAGCAGGTCGTTTGTTCCGAGTACGGTCTTTTGTTACAAACCCATGGTACTCGAAACGGGGTTCCCCGGCAGCAAGTGGTTATGCTTATATGATATTTAAGTCTGTGTCCGAAATAGTGGCTGCGGCTGGAAATGAGACTAGCATGTAAAGTTGCTGCAGCTCTCAAAAGTATCTTTATAGATGCCTGTATTGTGTCCAGTCGCCTGTTGCCTCAGGCATGGCCATTCGACTTTATTTTTTGTCGACATTTATGTTTCTAGGAGTACAAGTTGGAAGTCCTAAAACGGGCACATTATTTTTGTGTTAAAAGGAAACATTTAGGTATTATTACTGAAGTAAAAGAAAACAAATTCAACCAAGAGCAAAAAACATTGATGTACTCACCTGTCGACTGAAGTCGGAGGAAAAAGTGTTGAATTCTTCCACAACTTTTCCACAGGTGAGAGATGGTTTTGATGAGACGGCAGCCTTTGTCGGACGCTACTGCCATGCCGATGCCATCCCGCCCCCGTTTGTCTCCACAGCCAACACGCTGTGGGTCAAGTTCAAGTCGGATGTGTCGGTCAGTGCTGGCGGATTCCGGGCCACCTATGAATTGGGTGAGTAAACACGGAGCTTAGTAGCCTTATTTATGACTCGGCCAACTTGAATCCAACTTGAGGTGACCCCTGTGAAAATTTTCCACATACTTGTATGGAATCGAAGATGATCCGGTAATGGCAGATCAAAGATTGCCTTCCTCGTGCTTCAAATGCCAAATTATGCATTAACAGTCATGGTACCTTTGTTGTCCAAATAAAAATAGTTTCAAAGTGAGGCGCTATGGTATCTGTAATTACAGCAAAAAAGTCAGGTGCCTTCCCATTGCAGAGTGATCTATATTTAATGGCTTAGGCAGCAAGATAGAATATGGCCAAGTCATGAAAAAAAGCACATGGGAGGTAGAATAGGAACTTTCATGGTATGATTGGACCATTGGCTGCATCCAAATCAGCTATCTATGGTTAGATCTAGGGCTTTGCTCATTGGAAATTGCAGAGATGTGCGACAGCAGATGTCGCCCTAGCTGAGGAAGCCATTGTTAAGAAGGTTCAAAGCATTAGCAGTGTTAAAGCACCATTTCAAAATTCTTATCAGGTAGGTGTCAGATGGAACGGTCCGACCGATACATTTATTATCGCTGGCTATCAGGTTGTTCTCATGTGGCCAATACGGTGGTTTCACAATAGTGCGCCACCAAGAGTTTGCAACGCGTTAGCCAATCACAATGCGCGAAATTTTTCGACCTAATGCGTATTTGAAAAGGGTCGACAAATTTCCTGCATTATGATTGGCCAACGCGTTTGCAAACTCTTGGTGGCGCACTATTGTGAATCGCCCGTATTCAAACTGATAAATGCCTTTTTATTGCATTACTTCCAAGGCTATGTGGTTTCAGCGGAGCAACACCCCCTCCATTATTCACTCAACACAAGTCACTATTATCGGTTGGATGGCCCCGTCCTGTTGTCAACCAATAGGAATTTTGAAATGATGCCTAAGAGAAGGTTACACAGTGGTTGCACCTGGCTCTTAATCATCGTACTTTGTCTGTGCTTTCTCAACCAAAGCTTGCAACCCCCCACTTGTCATTACGTGGGATGCGATGTTCACTCTAAAGTTTGTCTGTCAACTTGCACTGTAATCCCTCATTGGATGTCTGCTTTTGCAATAGTGATTGGTTACGTGTAGTTACCGAGGTTGACCCATGAGGGAAATAGACCTTTTTTGGGATTGAATACTGGGGGGACGCACTGTGTTTGTGAGTCACACCTGTTGGGATTGGCGTCTTGATAAAGTTTAGCACCTCTGCAACTAGGAATGACTTTACTTAAACTGAAACTTGGTGAGGCATGTTGTAATGTGACACTGTGACACCTTGCAGCCATTGTCCTCCCGACTTGAACTGCATTGGTTTTGTCTCACTCCTTTTTTTTTCCAGACTGTGGTGGTGTGTATACCGATCCATCACAGGATCTGATCTCCCCCTACTTCCCCAACTACTACCCCCATGACAAGACCTGCGAGTACGTCATCAATGCCCCGCAGGGTCAGGTGGTCGTGCTGACCTTTGTGACCTTCGACATTGAGGCCCACCTGAACTGCGACTACGATTACCTAGAGGTAGGTGCTCAATCTCTTCATAGTAAGAAATCAATGAGCAATGCAGAGCTCTTTCAGAATAGTTGTTTCTGATGGTTGAAGATAACCTGATGACCAGGGCCCAGTGTCATAGCACTCCTGAAAGTGCACCTCTAAGGAAAACTTGTTTTTTTCTGATTTATGTGTTCAAATATATATGAAAATATCCAAATCGAACGTATTGTCATTTGTCATAACAGCTCAACTACAACAAGCTGAAAAGGGCTTTTCTCTGTTCATGCCAAGATGCGAATTCTGAATGCAGATTGCGTCATTGAGTAGAAAACAGAGAAAACGAGGGGAACCCTTGTCCTGCGTTTGTAGTGGATAAACCCTTGTGCATACCGAACATTGCATGCAGCCATTGCCTTCGATTTGGATGCTTCCATATTTAATTTGAACAGATAAAATCAGAGGAAACATGTTTTCCTTAGAGATGCTCTTTACTAAGTAGAAACATTAACATACTGACGTGATAGTCTTCAGAAACAAAGACAGAAAGGTATGAGCATTTGTAGATACAGTTATTTCTTCAGATGCAGTGAAAAGGGGACAGAGCTCGTAAGAGTGTGAACAAAAGTCTCAGTCTCTTTTTTAGTCCCTGTTTTGTTCCAGAGTGTTGATGATTCTCTATCCGGCAGAAAGATGGAAATTAATGTCTGTACATGAGCATTATTCATTGGCACAAATGGGCCGACATCGAGATTTGTATTGTTACGTCCAGGGGGCCAAGAGAAACTGTGGTCAACCCCAAAGGAGGGGGAGGGGGTTGCAGTTGTTTTTTTCTTGTAAATGTATTGAGCAAAAGGGGGGGGAGATTCAGTTTCTTTCCAATACCTGCAAATTTAATATCACCTCCATAAAGGCCATACAGATACACATAAAAAATTCCCAATATGTTGGCCCATCCAAGAAAGAGCATTTCGGCCCCTCCTCTAAAGATTTTGATTTGGATGTGCCCCTAGTATCAGCGTGCATATTAACCACTGATATAAAGTAAAAGTAGCCCTTAACTGTTTAAGATATGCACAGAGTATTGAAACCTCCTTAGATAACCGCCCCTGTGTCCTTGATGCAGGTCCGCGATGGTGCGTCAGAAGATGCCACTCTCATCAGCAAGCTGTGCGGCACTGCCCTGCCATCAGACCAAACCTCTAACGGAAACTCTATGTACCTGAAATTTGTGACTGATGGGTCGGTGGCCAACTATGGGTTCCGGGCCACGTTCAGTTTTGAGGATGCTGGCCCAGGTAAGGCGGGGTCCAGTTTTCCTCCTGAGGGGAAAATGTTGCCTGACAAAGGAAGATGCTAAGCAAAAAAAATTGATCAAGCACCAGTTAAGAGCAGTACACAGTGCATGGCATTTTGCCGGTAACCCATTTTGGGGAAGCACCTATTTCTGTGCCTAGTCACAGATAACTTTGCTTAAAACATTTTGATGGTGACTCTTGATGAATTGAGGTGACATGTTACAGCTCTTGCATGTCTGCTATTGTTGTGTACATTTTACATATTTTTTCATGTAACTTTATAGTGTTATTAAAGTTCACTTTCTGAAAGTATTGTTCTGTCAAGATTTAGTCATAAACACCGAATATTATCCACTAAAAATGTTAAGTTACTCAAGATGTGATCTGTGAATACAATCATATGTCAAAATGTAGTTGTCTTTGTTGACAGTACTCTAATAAAACTGCCTGACTAAGACCTTCACTTCTGTCCAAAAGAAGTCAAAATTTTACCTGTAGGCCTATTAGATGCAAAATGTTACCTTTCAGTCAGATTAGTGGCACATTACTGAGTGATGCCTTTTCCGATAAGTTATGGTCTCCTATTTTTCCCCATGTAGGAAGTTGTGGAGGCCAATTCACCGGCGACACCGGTATTATTGCCTCACCGCCCCACCCCCAGGGCTATCCCCACGGCGTCAACTGCATCTATGTTATCACTGTGTCCGATGGCTACGTCATCCGGCTGACGTTTAACTCCTTCAGCCTGGAGAGCGCCACCAACTGCATCTTCGACTATGTGCAGATCTACGACAATGCCACCAACGCTGCCTCGCCAGACTTGGGCAGGTCAGTCAGAGGAAAATCAAGAAATGAAAGAATGACGGAAATGCATGCGTGGGATTGGTTTTCCCAGTTGGAAAATTTGAAACGCTTGATAGGAAACTGCTGTCTCGTCCCATTAGTCCAGCAAATTATCACGTTTGAGATCGTTCTCCAAATTCAACAGTATGAAAAGACATTTGTAACTCGTTGACACCAGAAATAGTTTAACATCTGTGGACCATGTGTGTCTTGCACTTAATGGTCCAAGCGATTTGTGTATGCACTTTGGAGGGGGTTTACCACGGTTCGCTTTGTGTAATAAAGTGCTTCTTTACCAGCAAGAAACAGACCGGCTTGGCCAAAATGCTGTTGGTGCTGTGTACACCATACATATGTAGATAGCCGGATTTATGGAATCACTACTACTACTTATACTCTGCCAGGCATGTGCAAACAAATGCAGTCATCATCTTATAAGCTGTGGTAGTGCTATTGGTTTTATACAAAATTAAGTATTCCTCAAAAGTGCCCTAGGCACTGCAGCTTTCAAACCAGCGGAAACCCTTCGGGTAGACAGTGGGAAGCAGTTGCAGATTTAGAGCTGGGAGGAAATCGCAAGTTGTATATTTTAGGTAAAACCCACAGAGTTAGGTGAGGACTGAAAAGCCAATCCATATGTTGTCCAGGCCAGGAATTGAACCTGGGCCACAGAGGTGAACAGCAAGGAAAGAACCACTATGCCAGCCTGGCTCCCCTTTACTCCAAGGGAGATCATTACCAAAAAGAGTGAGATCTCTTTCTCTCTGCCTTCTTTACTCTCAGCACCCCAGGGCTGCTTTACACTCTGGTGGGCGTTTCTCTCTGGTGTTGCGCACTGACTTGGCATGTACTGTCTTTCACTCTCAGGTACTGCGGCAGCGACTCCCCTCCAGTTCTGACCACCTCGGGCAACATCATGACAGTCATCTTCCACACCGATAGTAGCGTGGCCCGCGAGGGCTTCACTGCAAACTACGTGGCCCTGGATGCCACCACTGGTGAGTACCGACCTGTAGCAGCCAATCATTTGATGGAGCTACCAAACACAGAAATTTGATTACGCATAGGAAACATTTGCCTAATTAATGACAGAAACAGGTTAACAATCAAACCACCATAATTAGTACATTTCTCAATGTTGGTTCCCTTCTCACTTTTGCTGAGCATATAAATTGGTTGAGCAGTGTTTTCCTGCTAAGCAGTTTCCTTGGACTTAGAATGTGTGACTCTTGCTTAATATAATTGAATCAGCCTATTTGTCAGTTTAAAATCTCTGCAATTAATTGTTAGGATGAGTCCTGCTTCGCTGGAGCATAGAGTGGCTTTTCAGTGATGAACACTGACGCTTTCACTGGTCGACCCCATTTGGTTACTTCCTTTCTAATGAATACAGAATGAGCTGGCTTTCATTGCAAGTTCACAATCCACCCTTCCATTTTAAACTCATGTTGTCACTATGTTGCAAGTTTTGATGTACAGTCCAGCTGCTTTTCCATTTGCCCAGTTTGTGGTGGTGACCTCACCACGCCCACCGGCGTCATCACCACGCCCAATTACCCAGACGACTATCCACACAACCGCCAGTGTGTCTGGGTCATATCGGTCCCAACAGGCCAGCAGATCAGTGTCAACTTCACTGACTTCGACTTGGAGCAGCATTTCAACTGTGCCTTCGATTACGTAGAGCTGAGGTGTGTTACAATGGAAACAGTTTTGTGAAATCACCGGGTGTGATGTTACCTTGAAACAAAAACAAGAAAGGGAAGGGTGACGCCGTGTGATGGAATCAACAAGCTTTTGAAAATCAAAATAATTTCCCTCCCCCCTTCCAAAACAAGTGTCATTTTGTAGGCACACTTAAACAATGAGGGGATGATGGTGTAAGAATAAACTGGCTTTTAATACCCTAATAAAGGTGACTGGGGAAGTCACTTTTTGTTTGAAAGCCAACAAACAACTCACATGTTTATCTTATTCTCTGTTTTTCTTCATCTTCGTTTTTCCCCAACCAATCACAATCTGTTTTGTCACCTGTAGGAATGGAGGCTATGCTACGTCCCCACTGATTGGCACATTCTGTGGCAGCAGCATCAACCCGACCATGTACACCTCCCACAGCAACAAGATGTACATCAAGTTTGAGTCGGACTTCTCCCTATCTGCCCGCGGCTTTTCTCTGGCCTACGATGGAACTGCTACAGGTATATTCAGTTTCACCTCATTCAAAGGTCGCCTCTGGCAAGTGGTTCTCCACGCCCCCCCAAATTTGAAGAATTTAATTTTTCCTGCATAGTAATAGACGATCAACTTTCAAAATCCAAGTCTTTATGGCATTTTTATATTTCTGCTTTGCTGAAAGTCTCCTGTTGACATGAAACGAAAGAGTACAATTTGATGTAAGGTCATTGGCCTCAAATCCCAGTCTAACCTAGAAAAAGTGGAGTGTCATATACCTGTGATCAGTGTACAAAGTCATGAATTGAATTGTATGATTTTTTCCCCAAGAGTTCTTTTGTGGTGGAACTTCAACATGTATGTGTTGTGATGTGCATGCCGTTGTTAGCATTTTGGAGATCATATTATACAAGAATTCCGCTTTGGGAATTGTATAAAGTGTAAATTTATTTCTATTTATGGACCTGATGATTGGATCACTTTTGGATTAGAAAGCAATTGATACAGATATGAGAACTAAGTTCAAGAGGTGCTAGTTGGAAAGACTCAACAGCAAGGTGCAAAAATGTGATGTTGCTGGCAAAGTCAACTGTTATATTACGTGTGGCCTGCTTGTTATTCAATTTGTGCACTGGTACTCGGAGTAGTGACATAAAAGCCAGAAAGATTTACAATCATGCTCCTATCATTACAGTGATCAGAAGAACGATCTGAGACCAAAAAAAATACAGCAACATGAAAAATACAGAATTGCCAAGGGAACTACTGATTTTATGAATACCCAAATGAGTTTGCAAAGGCTGGCTTCTGTGAAATCCTGAATTCTGATATTTTAGTTCAAAGATTTCAGTGGCTGACCTGAAGTTAATCAGCAATGTGTATTAAGATTGACCAAAGAATTCTTCTTCATCTTTACACACTGGCTTCCATGTTGCATAATTTCCAAATTTCACTTCCTCCATCTACCCAGGATGTGGTGGCAGCCTGACCACACCAACTGGCAGCTTTGTCTCCCCCAACTACCCCTTCCCCTACGGCCACAACGCCGAGTGCTTCTGGCTGATCACCGCCAACCAGGGCAGCACGCTCTACCTCACCTTCGCCGACTTTGACGTGGAGACCCACAGCTCCTGTTACTACGACTACGTCAGGGTGAGTACAGAGAGAGAAGTGGTCTCTGCATTTCTTTTTATGGAAACCACTCGAGCATCAACACCCAAATCGTGGTAGTGTCTTGCTCCAGAGAGAGAGAGAGATAAAGGTAGGTGGCGTAGTCTGATCAGAAATGGTGTTGATGGCTACCTCTGCAGATCCAGTGAATAGTTTGGCATCAGCTTTTAATGAATGTTGCATTCTGTTGCATTTATCATAGTTACCGGGATGTTTTTTCCAGAGTGGGGGGAGGCAAAGCACTTTTTCCCAGGAGGGAACAGTTGGGGGTGGGGGCAAGACACTTATCAGCAATGAACTGAGAAGCCATTGACTGTGGGAGGGGATCAGTTTGGAGATGCTTTCTTCAAGCAAATTAAGCACTTGCTGCTGGGGAGTCCGGTTTCCGACTCGTATTCTTTATACATTTAGCCGGGGTCTCCGAAATCGGACAAAGAGAACTGGGCTTTGTAACAAAAGACCATACTCGTAACAAAAGACTAGGCTGCTGGAAATTACCAACATTTTTTCACTCTCAATAGTGGAGATAATCCAGCCTTGTTTTGAAATAGTATACCACAGTTTGGGGCATTCAGTGCGTATGGATTTCCACCAGGGACAAAAAGCGCTCCTCCACTGCAGTGATGAGCCACACAGCACCGATGCACGCTAATCTGGCCCCTATTGAAAAGAGGTCAGCAGTGCACTTTGCCAGTTCTTGAACAAAAGAAAATTACATTAACACCGCACAATCTGGGCTCTTTTACAAGGCGGCAGGCCTGGTTGAAATACTCCAGCGTCAATAGATGTTGTCTGTCAGATAAGAGTAGAAACCAGACAGTCCTTCATGTGGGTGTAAGTGTCCAGTAAATGAAGATATGAAGTTTTAAAGAATTTCGAAAACAGAAAAAAATGAAAATTTTCCCGTTCCAGCGTCATCAACGTTCATAAATGCCCCCAGCATGATGTGGTTTATGCTTTTTGTCTCCTTTTGAAACTTAGCTTGTTTCCCTGTTTTTATTTTTTTCAAAGGGGGAAAGTGTCCTCATGCCCCCATCCCTACGCCCATGACCACTGTGGTAGCGAAATACAAAGATTTATCTTATTTTATGAAGGGTCTGCACATACCTGATACGCAATTTATTAGCAGTGTCCTCGCAGTGCCAAAAAAATGAATCATTTTTACTTGCTAACACAGAGTTAAAGACAGCTTGGTTGGCTGTTCGGTTTTGACTTTAAATCAGTTCAGGATAATTTGTGACCCACCATACCAAGATCAGGCTGAAGAATCATGAAGGTATGAAATGAGCCAGTAATTTGCAAAGCTCTGTCTAGCCAAACATCTCGCTTTGGATTACTTTGAGGTTTTGAAAATTAACGGTGCAGTGCAGGAATTGCCAAACATTTTGGCTTGGTTTTAGAATGGTGGGTCACATTTGTCTTGGAAAATTATAAACAACAGAACTTGTTCTCACATCTGAAGGTTTTCGATGGCCTGACCGAGAACGACCCCATCCTGGGAACATACTGCGGCACAGACTTGCCCCCACCGATCCAATCCACCAGCAATGGCCTGAGAGTCAAGTTCAGGACGGACTACTCAGTCAGCGGATCTGGCTTCCATGCTGCCTATCAGACCAGTAAGTCATGGACCTGTCAACCTCCAAAAAACAAACGTTAGACAAACCCGGCAGGAGTTTTGTATAAAAAAAGAGCTTGTGCTGGAGAGTGAGACCTGGTTGCCATTTGATGGAGTGTTATCATTGATAAAGGACCATGATATCTTTTATACTGCAGACCAAGTGAATGAACCTTCATGTGTTATTAACAGCGTTTTTTAAAATTTCGTATTTGAGGACATTTTGGTATGTATTTATGCAAATGGTGTTGAGTAATTATTGGCAAAAGTCTGATGTCATCTTGGGGAAAAACCTTCATGTTGTAGCTACACCTCAAAATATGCCAGATATTTGGATACGTGGTTGTCTTACATTTCCTTTTTTCGTGGGTTTAACTCGATCTTGAACTGTAATGGTTTATCTTTACTCTCCTGAACTTCTTCCTTTTTTTCTACTCCCACATTTCCTCAGACTAGCACTCCTTGTTTTTAAAGTATAGCCTTTTTTATTCCCGCTAATCGAAAATCCTCCTTGTCGTAATTTTAGCTGCCACAGCATTTCATTAAAACTTGCATTAGAGCAGAAAAGGTTTTTTTTCATATTGCTTTCTTCAGATTTCAGAATCGCTGTTATGTAAAAGTACCCATGAGATTTTTTTCACATTTTCCTTTCAGAAGCATTGTGCATCGGGAAACAAATTAATGAACCTTATTCTTTGTTACCCCCTCCCGCCTCCATAGACTGTGACCACGTCCGGCTGACCGACTACAATGGGGTCATCGAGAGCCCCAACTTCCCGGACCCCTACCCTCACAACCGGGACTGTACCTGGATCATTGTGACCACAGAAGGAAACACTGTCAATCTGACCTTCACTACCTTGGAGCTGGAGTTTCACTCTACCTGTTCCTACGACTACATCGAAGTATTTAACAAAATCCTTGTGCTCTGCTTTGATTGATTCTTGTGTTAAGCAGTCTTTAAGTCTTGATAGCAGGTGGCCTCAACAGGCCCACCGTAAACCAACCCAAAAGTTCAGTGTTCTCTCAAAGTTCTCTTGAAGTTGTATTTTTTTTCACCAGATGAATTCGCTTGACCCTGGGCGTAACTGGGGACGATTTAAAGCTAGGTCAAAAGGCATTGTATCTGTGTCAAACTAGACGGGGGTGCAGAATTCCTAGGATTTAACAAATGTGGAAATCTGTCTCAGAGAACCTTTTATTCAGTCCTAAAATCAAAAAGTTTTCAAGAAGCAGAAGTTATACCTGACTTCCCACTTTCTCACATAAAGATTGAGCCTCTTGGACTGAATGGAAACGCCTTTCATCAGGGAAGAAATTGATGACTTTGTTCAGACCAGAAATGCCAAGCTGCTTTAGTAAATTGAATTTGTGATTGACTCCTTTATGTGGGATAGTACCTTGACACTGGTTCATTATCTCATCATCTGTAGGTTCGTGATGGTCAAGACGACGATTCCCCACTGATCGGTAGCCAGCTGTGTGGTCAGAACCTCCAGCCTGAAGATATGTTCTTTACTAGCACCAGCCAGTACCTGCTGATCAAATTCCACTCGGATTCCTCGGTGGCCGATGCTGGATTCCAGGCCAGTTACGTTATCAACGGTCAGTAAACAGCAGCTAAAGCCGCGCTACCATTACCTTTTTTGTACAATTGCTATGGCAAGAGGAAGCCCAAATCGGAACTCACAGCACATTAAAGGTTTTGTTCTACATCACACTTGGGATCGCTAGAATTTCTTTTGAAGCTACAGTATCTAAATGGGGCTCTCGATTTATCCAAAAGTGCACTGTGCAAAGAATGGTTCCCTGACCTCTCTGTATGTACGTATACACACTGCTGTGTTTCGTACAGTGGCTCTATGCCCATTTCCATCAAGATACATTTTTGTCTTCTGCCTCAGAAAATATCACAGCAAGAATATGGTGATATGTAGAAATCTTGCTTTTAAAAGCTCAGATTGTCCCTCCTGTTGGCAGGCTGCGGTGGTGTGCTGACGGAGAACACAGGAACTTTGAGCAGTCCCAACTACCCCAACCACTATGACCACAACCGCGTCTGCACCTGGACCATCACCGTGGACTTTGGCCATGCCATCACCCTGACCATCACTGACTTTGATGTGGAGGCCAGCAACAACTGCAACTTTGACGCCCTGAAGGTGAGCACAGCAACCGAAAGGGGAAGGGAATGGAATTTGTCAATCTCCTGCAAATTTTTAAAAGTAGAAATACCTGTGCTCCCACTAAAGATCCCTGATATTAATATTCATCGGACACACTCAGTGTGCATCGTTATTCTCGTCTTCATTGTATGAAAACTGCTTGACTTAAATAATATTTATAATACAGAAAAATTATAACATGCGGGTATCCATCTAAACTGATGCTCATGGCATGGATTAAAATCAAGTACAGTTAACAAGAAATAACATAACATTTCTTGAAGAAGTGGATTAATAATCTTGAAGTGGGTTTTAAACTTGAAGTGGGTTTCAACCTTGAAGTGGGGTTTAACCCTGAAGTGGGTTTTAACCTTGAAGTGGGTTTCAACCTTGAAGTGGGTTTTAACCCTGAAGTGGGTTTTAACCTTGACGTGGGTTTTAACCTTGAAGTGGGTTTAATCGTGAAGTGGGTGTAAGTTTGAATTGGGTTTTAACCTTGAAATGGGTTATAATCTTGAAGTGGGTTTTAGCCTTGATGGGAAAGAGTATTGAAAAGTGCACATTTTAATCATTTTAAAGTGTCGTGAGTCTTGTAACTGGCTACTCACCTAATAACCTAATATGGAAAAGGAGTGGCATTTTTTGTCATTTTTATTGATATTAAATAAAATGAATGTTCTCAGTGCCAAGATACCTTTGATTGTTGAGGATAGTATTGAACAGTATACCTATTACAATGAAGAAGCTCCATTCACACAACTGTTTCTTTGTTGGGGTCTTGGAACTTGTTGATAGGTTTATTCAGGAACTGATGCCAATGGTCAATTGCTGGCCCAGATCTGCCATACGCAGACATCCCCACAACAAATTTCCACGACAGGCAGGAATATGTTTGTTTACTTCAGGACCGACTCCAGCATCAACGGGCGTGGATTCACTGCCAACTACCAATCCATCGATGGAGGTAAGAGATTAGAGTTGCAGTCTAGACCTCTCAAGACCCTCTCAGGGTCCCACCAATTGTCATAAAACCAACACATGACCTCCATTCTGAATTAATTCAAGTCACAATCTATTCAAATGATCTGCCACAAAAGTATCCTTTAGTCAGCGTTTCGCCGTGCTACTTGTGACTGATATTGCTACTAGTCTGAAGTATGGTCTGGATAAATCTGGCAAGTAAAAAAAAAAAAGAAAAAGAGACTAAAAATATTTTTAGGCGATTGTAAGCGACTAAGCGGCAGAGTTGTCTAAACACTGCATAGCTGAAAAGAGATGTGATAAAAGTGTGGTTGAAATACATAATGATTAACTGTAGCCAAATCCTATTTGGAGTCTCGGCAAAGTTGCTCGCGTCCTGCCTGAGTCTAACCTGCTGTGTTTGGTTATTCTTCCAGGATGCGGTGGCAACTTCTCCACTCCGACTGGAGACTTCCACTCTCACAACTATCCCAACAACTACGACCACAACACCGACTGTACCTGGCTGATTACGGTTGCTGAGGATCACCGGGTCAAGCTGACCTTCCTTGACTTCCAGCTGGAGGGAGCATCATGTCAATACGACTATGTCAGGGTATGGGGTTCAGGTTTCCAGCCGTGGTACGATAACCTGCAGATTTTTATATCCCATGGGTGTAAAGAATGAATGCCATGGGACATGAAGCCTGGGTCTCCAGTGATGGTATGGTAGCTTTTGGTGTGCATCATCCCATGATATGTAAATACTGAATCTTATGGTGTATAGGGCCTGGGCTTCTAGCTATTGTCTAGTGTTTGGGATTCCATAAGGAAAGCCAAGTAGAATTTCTTTTTTCAGACCAAAGTATGTGATATCCCTTGGGATTTTACATACCACATGGTGTCTATATCATAGATTTTTATATCCCACGATGTTTCTCATAGTATTTATCCTGCGATATTCATCAATTTAAGTCTGATTGATATTCACGGAATTTGTTGTAACCTTTGATATAATTTCTTGTATTCCATAAAGTTTGTCAATCCAGGTATTACCTTCTGTAAGGACACTCAGACTTCAGTTCTTGAAGAACGTTAATTTGGGTATCTTCACAGGCCCCAATGAATATTAAACACTTGTATGTAAAGAATTCGTAACTATTCAAAGCATTTTCTGTCTTGGTCCTTTCCTTACCAACCTTCCAGGTCTATGATGGTCCATCCTTAAACTACCCTGTCCTTCTGACCCAGTGCGGGGACGGCCTACCTGACCCACCTACCATTTACTCCTCAGACAGGCAGATGTTCATCCGCATGCTGGCCGACGGAAGCGTCTCACGGCGCGGCTTCCACGCCACCTATGAGACAGGTGAGAAGGACCAAGGGAGACCAAGCTGGACAGTTGTCCCTTAGTACAACCAAGAGCAGAAATCAGTGGGGAGCAAGTCACAAGTAGTATCCAAATCACAACATTTTGGCTGGTAACCTGGTTAGCAAGTTTCCTGTGCTTAACTCTGCGAAAACTGCTCCACAGGTCTGGGCTTGTTTATTACAATTACCCCTAGCATTTCACTGCAGTTTGTTGACAGTGCCTACCCCAAATTGGATAAGTTCTGCCTCAACTTCTTAACAAGTGCTGAAATAGGGCTGTGTTGCATATTGGAATGCTTGGATATGTGATTGCACTGAGGACTAGTAAAAGGAAAAGAATTATCAGTTAGGACTGAACATCATTTAGTCTACCAGCCTTCCATGTCAACAAGGAGACAGACCCCATCTTGAAACTCAGCAAGGTTGACCACCAAGCAAAAGTGTAAATTTTGTTTCTACTTTTGGGGAATTTGGTACAAGTGAATATTCAGTTGTTTGGAAATTAGCATATGTGAATTATTTGAATTGACACAGTATTACTGCGCAAGGACAAGCTTTCCCATATTGCCTTTATCAAAGCTGCTGATCTTTGATAGTTGAATATGACAGGGCGAATGCTCAGGGCAGTTGGTATAAGTTTAGGAATGTCTTGGATTCCCTTGTCTGACAGCATGCGGCGGTCGTCTGGATGCCACACAGACGGGCGTCGTCAAGTCAACCAATTATCCCAGTACCTACCCGGCTTATCAGAATTGCACTTGGATCATCGAATCGGCCAATCCTGGTAAGTGTACTATAGTCAAAGACAAAATACTCTAGCAAAGCAAGAAGAGGAATTGAGGCAGCAATTGTCATGACTAGTGACAATTGAAGTGGTCAACTAACAACGCTGCCTCACTGTGTGCAACGTATGTGGTGCCAAATGGGCGGTGGTGTTGTCCTGACCTCCAGAAACCATCTCAAGACCATAACCAGACCCACAGCACCATCACAAGTCCAATACAAGACCTTCAGTCTGAATTAATGTTAAAACCTATTTGAATTTGACTTCCGACAACAAACATTCCTTTGTAATGATGCACCGTGTCACTTCTGACTGGTCTTGTGAATGGTCTGGTGATGATCTCGACTGCAACACGCGCAAAAGGGTTTGCAAGAAAAATGGACAGACCAGTCAAAATGGCACCTTCCATTTCGTAGGTGACCGCGTCACTCTAACCTTCAGCCACGTGGACATTGAAGCGTCGCCCAATGGCTGTGAGCATGATGTGCTCACCATACGTGAGGGGAACGACGAGAACGGGCCTGTGATCAGTGAGATTTGTGGGACAACTTTGCCTGCGCCTATCACCTCCTTTGGTGCTGCGCTGACCGTAACCTTCACATCAGACAGCTCCGTCGAGCAGACCGGTTTCAGATTTACATATTCCACATCGCTCTCGGGTAAGATTCTTTGGAGTTTGAGTTTTTCCTTTTACGTTTTTATCAATAGTTGATTGGGTCGCATTTTAAGAAACCTGTACTCTACATTGTATTATTGTGCTAGGTTCTGTCCTTGCATTAAATTGTACACTTGGACTGTATTCTCAATTTGGCCTGAGAGTTGTGAACAAATCCTGAACTTGCTTGGGTGGGATTGGAACCCACAACTTCCTGAGCAGAACCTAGTATAAAATTAACCTCCCCAATTTGAGCCAAAATTGAAATTCAGTGATTTTACTCTGCGTTAGGAATGCTGCTGCTGCACTGGACTTTAGCCAACCAACCGATCCCAGTAAAAATCAATGGTTCAATGGTTAAGACATCTGTACTAGTAAGCAGGAAGTCATAGGTTGGAATCCAACCCAAGCAAGTTTGTGGGTTTTTTACGCAATGCTGTGACCACCTTCAGAATACAGTGTGAGTACATATGTCAATGTAAGGGCAAAACCTAGTGTGAAGTTTACTTCCCCGACACAAAGCCACATCATTGATTTTCTCTATTCTTCCTGTTGATCTGTAATTTGGTCTGGCTTCCTTTTGCCCACCTCCCCCCCCCCAGTTTGTGGTGGTGATATTACAGCCACCGATGGTGCCTTCTCAAGTCCCGGCTATCCGGCCAACTACCCGGTGGACACTGAGTGCGTCTGGACCATCCAGTCATCGCCTGGTAACCAGGTCCAGGTGTCCTTCAGGTGAAGTGCAAGAAGCCAAAATGATGTCAAAACAAATGAAACACTAATTATCACATCCAATCAACCCCGGGGTTTGATCATTGGACAGATTTGAGCAAAGAGTTTGTCTGACAAGAATTAGATTATTTTTGAGGGGTTTGCCTTTTGATATGACCAAATTTTCTCTTGTTCATTTCCCAGTACAATTCCATTCTGCCGTAATAACTTCAGTTTTTCTGGTTGTTTTGGTCCTATCCTTTTGGGGGCTAATGAAGGAAGATTTATTGAAGAAAGTAAAATGCCAGTCCTAAGAAATCATTCATGACTTCTTTGCATGCTTCTGTACTGCCATCCATTTCTCTTTCCATGTGTCGTCCATCTGGATTTCCCATCTGCAGTGTTTTCAACCTGGAGAGCATCTGCATTCATGACTACCTAGAGGCCAGGGTCGGGAATGAGAACGGCACCTTGATCGGTCGCTTCTGTGGCCCCCGCAGGCCCAGCAACCTGACTGCGTCGGGCTCCATGTGGCTGAAGTTCCGCTCCGACGCCAGCGGAACCGGAGTTGGGTTCCTGGCTAATTTTGCTCAAGGTGAGATGTTTTTTATGCTGCTACTGTTTCAAGTTGGAGGTTGACACATTCCAACAGCACAGTTTTTTCAAAAATTAACCATACTTGTGATAAGTGTGGTTTTGCTCTCTGAATTTGCTATAGAACAATCCGGTGACAAGAATCAGGAGCCATTACTGCGTTGTCCCCACATGCATGAACAAAAGAGATGCACATTGAATGCTTCCTCATCAGCTAACTGCTAACCAACATCACAGGCTCGTCAAGCTCAGGAAGTTTGCGCCTGAGTGACGGGAACACCTCAGTAATGGCGTCAGCGAATTGGTCCATAGGTGATTGTTTCATTTTGTCTTTTGTTCAGTTTTTGGCGGCACACTCATAGCACCTACTGGGCAGATTGCTTCTCCACTGTACCCCAATAACTACCTCAACAACCTGGATGTTGTCTGGAGCATCTATGTGTCTGGCAGTGCACGTGTCCGCATTACGTTCACCCAATTCAGCGTGGAGCCAGGATTTAATCTGTGCAACTATGACGCCCTTGAGGTATGGGTAACACCCTTCAGTTAGAATTAATTCTGGATTGTATTTTCAAGCCTGTTGTGGATCACCATTATGCATCTCCCTTCTGGAGTGCTTGCTGCCTGTTTGACCTGCAAGAACAAAGTGACTGGCCCACCAAAAGTCTCAGGGTTTTTTTGAAACCTGTCATGTAAAGACATGCATTAGGAATGCACCCTGCAAAGTTTCAGTCAGGGGAGGATACAGGAACTAGTGGTTTGGCTGCACTGCTGAAAAGCCAGGCAAAGCCAGGATACAATAAAGGCGTTACCAATCAAATATGAGACTCTATATGATCTGACCAGAGTTAAACCCCGCCCACCTCACGTGCGTCTGTGGCTATCGGGCATGAGCAAAGCTGACTGGAGCTGTCAATCAAGTCAGTTTGAACAAAGGCTTATTGTTCAAAGCAATGAAGTAAACGCTCCTGCTTGGCCGAGAATGAGCTGACTCTTCAGCACTAAAGCCAGGGAGCTAGTTTGGTTGTGCTACCTAAATGTAGAAGTCTTTCCATGAGTAAGTTTCTACTTCAGATACTATCAACTTTGTAAAATTCATGAACACCTTTCAAAACAAGTAACACAACAACTGATACATGCTTTCGTTACCTCGCTCTTGGACATATGCAACTCTCTTCTCTTTGGCATTCATCAACCAACAACTGCTGACTCAACCACAGCGTAAACAAAATTGTGCGCATACCTCATTACACCAAACCAAATGTTTCTCATGCATAACTGTCACCTTTCAGCATCTCCACTGGCTTCGTATCAAACATAGAAACATGTACAAACTAATGCTTCGAACGTATTGCTCACTACATAACACTTCTCCCCCATATCTGTCTACACTCCTGCCTCCATGCAATTCCAGTCGTTCAGGTCTCCGGTCTGCTAACCAGCATCTTCCGGCAGTACCGAGATCGTACCGATCCTGAGGAGATGGATCTTTCAGTATTGCTGCCCCAGGTCTATGGAAAAGTCTCCCCTTGAACATCCGGTCCAGCACATTTCTCAGCTCTTTCAAAACGGCACTCAAGAGATACGTTTATAACCTTGCTTACGGCGCTAGCTGTAGGCAAATCTAATTTCTTTTTCCCTCTACATAACTGCATTCTTAATTTACTTTCACTTTTGTAGCGCCATGAGCACCTATTTCTCAGGTGGATTTGTGCACTTTATAAATGTTCATATTATTATTATTACAACTTTAGATGAGGCAGGATTTTTTTATGTTTTTAAAGCCACATTCTGACTTGTATCAAGTACACATCTGTTCTTACCTTCTGATAGGTCTACGATGGACCCGACACCCAGGCGTCCCTCATCTTGTCGGCCTGCGACACCAGCCTGCCAAATCCTGTGGAGTCCAGTGGCAGCGTGGCTACCCTGAGATTCCGCACCGACGGCTCGGTAGTCAGCAGCGGCTGGCTGCTGAATTGGATTGAGGTGACCGGGACAGTAATCCCGTCTACTCTACCACCTAACCGTAAGTGGTAAAAAAAATCTTTACACTTGAAAGTTCATGCTCGCTGTCGGACTCTCTTCTGCACACTTGCCAAAACCATGTGCATTCAAATGCAGCAGAACTCGGGGGGTTCTTTATAGGTATCTTAAAGAATCTCTATTATTTTGCAGTGCGGCAGTTGAGTACTTGACAAGTACTTTTCAGTGGTGGTCACATGTAGTGTTACAAATACTAGTGGTGAACATTAACAAACAGGTCATGTGTGGATAGCCCATGGCTCACGCTGAGACTGAGGTATTTGTAATGAGTACATTTGAAGTGTTCAACTAAAATATTGTTTTGTTGGGCCGCATGGACACAATATCCCATGTCACACAGTTGAGCTTGGAAGGGTCTATACAGTGCAGTTTTCTTCTCACCACAGTCCTGGAAATGCACCGGGGTGTTTCAAATAACATGCTCTATTTTCAAGATGTATTTTTTTTTTTTTTTTTTTTTTTGCGTTGGGAAGATGTTAATTATATATAACGGTTTGCCC